TATTTCTCTAATGGTCACAAGTGCATTACCAAGTTATAATAATCCTCTTTTAACCCGTTAACATGATAGCCCAAAGGATGATTTCAATTGTGTGTGTATGCTAACATCTGTGCTTATTATGCTACACCAAGTATCACCATCTGCCTTCTAATAATAAAATGTATCTTTTATATAGGTGGTCTGAACCATGGAGAAAACCAATCAAGTCCTTTGTCAACACCTAATTTAAGAAAGGCTAGATTTGATATCCTGTATCAAGAATATGAGGTAAGCAACCATTTTGTTAAACTGTGCATTCTTGTAAATGTAAATACTGTTGTTATAAGCTTGGGATCTACTTCAGGAGTCCACATGTACTGTGAAATATTTTCGTTTAGAATTAATTTTCACTATTTTCAGTGGAGGAATGATTCAGTGAAAATAATATGCAGCTAATATACTCTTTTTCTTATATTTTACATTCAAATCCCATACAAAACACCCAACAAATCTTTTCAGCAAAAAATAATTCCAGCTAAAATAAAGTATTTTACAGTATTTTGATTCTTATCTAAAAATGTCCTTTTCTGAAACAAGCTGGATGTGCTATTTTTTGCTTGACCAAATAGTGTGAATTGCAAAAAAGTAGACTTGACAATGGCTGATCTTTAAATGTCTTTATATTTTCATTGGATTCGTATGCAAATTACTTAAACATAATGTGGTTATCATGAATAATGATGAGTTCCTGGTTGGCTGATGCTATATCAATTAAAGAGTATAAAGAAAAGATGCTCTCTCATTTCCTCCCCTCTCAGTTTATTTCAACCATAATTTTCAGAAATTCACAAACAAAGATCTGAAATCACTTTGTGCTCCTCCCCCTCCTCTACATACACACATACGTCCTCCGCGTCGTTGTAACGACACACATTGGATTAACTTTTAATATAGTTCAATTAACTTTTAATATAAGTTGCGATATGAACTCTATTAAAACGAGTTCCTATATAGGGGTATGTTTTAATTGGAGTTTAATTAAACTCAATTTCAATGCAATACAACGTAGAATTGCGTTTTAATTAAATAAAAGTCAAATATTCTGTGACTGAACGTAGAAATGTTTGCAAAGCTTAGGTTTAGTAACAGGAGAAGGTATCATGGTACATTTATATTAATATTAATACATTTTATAAATTGAACCATACCTTCCCCCTTTACTAAATCTAAGCTTTGCAAACTTGACTTAAATTTGATTAAATATTAATACAAATTATGAAAATACAATGTAGGTCCTGTCGTTACAAGTCGATGGATCGTCACAACGTTGATACCACACACGCACGCACACACACACACCACTTCTTTCAATTCATTGTACTGTAGTGTAATGTTGTTCCTCATCTGTACACGATTTATGTTTGCTATGTTTTATTACGATTGATTGTTTGTCTCCCAAGTATAATAAGCAGATACACTGTTTTGATAAACTCGGTGAAAAGGCATGACCTTTAGCTTCCTAACTTGAGTATTATAAACATCAAGGATTTAGCACAATTTATTTTGACTCCCGTGTGCGAAGCACACAATGTGAGTCTTTGCAGTTACTCTGTATGTGTGTGTGTATGTGAGTGTCTGTCCGCTCCTCTGATATCTCAAGAACCGTATGTTGGTTTTTGATAAAACTTGATGTATAGATGCTCTGGGCTAATGTGTAGACTTGATTAGGTTTTGGTTGAAATCCATGCATATTAATTGCCTGATTTGCATGATAATTAGCTAATTTTTAGCTGTTCC